TATAGTAGAAGATACCGAACTGAACTCTGCAGACTTTACACCAATAGAACGAATGATACGCCAAACATATTCAATCAGTATCAGCTTCTATAGCAGCTGATAAATAAAAAAAAAGTAATAAAGACAGGGGAAAGCCATGTTATGAGTCTTGGCATTGCATTGTTTGTCTACCAGAGAGCACTCTGCGACTTCAATGTTGGAAACATAACCAATATTAGGGAAATCTGTTTATGTACTTACTTTGTAAGTATTGGCTGATATATTGGAATATCACTAAATATTTGTGTAGTTTCAGCTGAGGGGTTGCATTGAGTGAAATCTAATCTAAAAGACATCTGACAATTTAAATTTTTAGTTTGTTTAAAACAGAACATCAGTCATGTGGCTCCACCTCACAGTCCATCACACTTCACAGGTTATTGTAATGTGTGGAATGGATTGCCAGGGTATAAGCTCACTGGGCCTTTAGTCGAATGCCCTAAAAATGGTCGGCATTTACAAACTGTGATTGGCGAATGGAACAGGAAGTCTTAGTCAAGAAGCCACAACAAACAAGTCATCACTTCCAGACGCTAAGTAAGCATACTAGTCAATAGCTTCCCAAATTGTTAGTAACTCAGTTACTGTTGCAAAAGTTTTTGTTTTTTTATCTCTTTGCATGATTATTTTATACCTTTAGCCAGAGACTGAAAATGCAGACTCTGCGACATTCATTTGAATAAAAAACACTCCTTGACCTTAAAGGGTTAAGTGCTGCCTTTCATACCTTTTTCATTAACAGCTGTTTTATCATTACATTCCTCTGTGCCTTTGGGACCTGTCCTGTATGCTAGAACTCATCCAGAAAACTCACTATTGTGCTTCTTAGAAGCATTGCCTTAAATTCTTGTGGCAAAGGACAAGTGACATGAGTTCAGTTTATTTTAATAATGTCACGAAAAAATACTTTGTCTGTGAAGGAATCTGCAGTCATCATTCAGGAGATGACTGCTGAAGTGACACAGCACATTTTGTAATGAAACATGTAAATGAGAAAGGGACTAACTGATTTCCAAGCCTTCCTGCATCAGTTTCCTTTCTTAAATATGCACAATCATGCAGGAAGTGTGAGCTGCTGCGTTCTTGGAGCACCTCAGAGGCCTGGTTGGATTTGTCACATGTCACAGTATTTTGGGAACATCTTCAAAGAGGAATAACTCAGTACCCTGCAGACTATTTCTGGTTTGATACGAGAGCAGCTGGTCGGCTTTGCTACAGAAAGAAAATCTTATTATAGATATGTGAAGGCCTGGAGAAACAATAGAATTTAAGCTTGCAAAAAGTTGTGGCCTGGAGAAACAATAGAATTTAAGCTTGCAAAAAGTTGTGGATCAATAAGAAAAAGAGCATAAAGAGCACAAATTGTAAAGTCATAAATATTGTATTCACGTCTACGTTCAGCTGCTGTGTTCTTTTTTGAGTGAGTCTAGAGAATAGCTATATTGTTTATCATCACATCTCTTTAGCTGAAGGGTAGGTTTGATCTGCAGTGTCGTGAACCCAGCCTGTTACCAAGGCATTATCATGTTTTCACAACTTTTACAATGTTACCAACATCTTAAGATACAACTCTCAAGAGGAGAAGAGAGATAAAACTGGAAATTAATGTAATCTATCTTATTGTAACCAGTAAACTAGCCTGACAGCCGTAGAGCTTTGGTCTGTTTAAATATAAAAAGAAATAAAACAAATAGAGAGAACTCCCAATGAAAATGAAAACTAACTTTCTGTTTTTTAACTATCCTTCCATCCATCCATGTGGCTGCTAAACCAATAAATTTACCACAAGAGACACAGAACCGGGATGTTCACTCCAAATAACAGCCGTCCTGACACAGAGCTTAAATTGATTTAATCTGAGTCGAGAGCTGGACTCGGCAGCTGTCCAATCACCATCTTAGTGATGGCAGCCAGGAGAGAGATTGTGTCATGTCTTAGAATCAGAGGCCAATCATAACATGGGGAGCACACACTGTGCTTGCACAAAAGCTAGTGGTTAAACTATAAAGTCACAAGCTAAAGTTGTACAATGATTAACAGGCAAAGAGCTCAAAATGACTACACATTTATTGATTTCTACTTAAATGCTGCCCAAACAGTAAATTACACTAAATATTTCAGTGCAGGGAAACTGGATTGAATGTGCACAGAATCGCAGTGTTAGAAAGAAAGACATTGCAAAGGTTTGATTCTGAGACGAGAATGAAATCCACATTGTCCACGTGCTCTGTGTCTGTCTAAAGGCAGTTGAAGATACTTCTTGGATAACAAAATAACATCTTACCAATATTTGTTTCCCGAAGAATGTTAACTCCTGCAGATTAATTTGTTCTGGTATATGTTTTGACGTTGACTATATGGATGTACACAAGCAGTTCCTGCAAAGTTAGCAGGAGGGGAGGTTTGTTGTACAAATCCTACCAGCAAGAGGGTTAGGTTTACAAAGTCTGTTGCCATGGTAACTGACCGTCTCTTTGACTAAGCCTGCTTCCTGGAACAGGCCCCAAGATGAAACACAGGCAAAAGCCCTTAGGATGATAAAAAAAATAAAGCAAAGAAAAACGGAATAAAAACCACTGAAATGTGACTATGGAAGTAGAAGAGCTGCTGAGGGAACAAGACAGACAGGGGAGAATGGGGAGATCAATAATATAGCACAGGTTGATATATATCCCAGAGTTGAGAAATTACTTTGGTGTAGCAGGTAGAAATTAGGATTAATCCCCCCCCAAATAACATAAAATTGTCTTAGATAAGTAGAATAAACTAATGAGGCTAAGCAAAAAAACAAAATCAAAGACTGTGACATAAATTTACTTTATGACAAAGTGTCACTGTAACTTGTTTGCTTGATAAAGAAATATCCCATCATGTCAGCATCCTGCTCTGTCCTGTTTCTTATAGCTGCGCTCTCTCCAAGACCTCCAAACGGTTCAAATCATCAAGATTTTGCGTTATGAGAAGAAAGTCGCCGTGATGTTTCTCCTGATGATAACCTGCTTCCTGGTTTGTTGGACACCCTACGCTGTCGTCTCCATGATGGAGGCCTTCGGCAGGAAGAGCATGGTCTCGCCCACTCTGGCCATCATCCCATCATTCTTTGCCAAGTCGAGCACGGCGTACAACCCACTCATTTACGTCTTTATGAGCAGAAAGGTTTGTAATCAAATTATTTTTCTTTTCTTTTTTTTAATGTTTGGGGTGAGGCTACCTCTCCAGCACCAATCTCTTTGTGTTGCTGCTCGAAAATCAGCCCAGGTTAGGCTGCTGTCTAGAATACATGATATATTTCACTTGAGAGTTCTGAATAGCCGCTTGCTGTGTAGTTTGTCATCCCTCCCCCGGAGTAACCACAGCTGACCCATAATTAAATATGGACAAACACAACAAATCAATAGCATCTCAATGTGAGGGGACGGTTTCGTCTCCTCTTGTGTAACTGCAGCTTTAAGTAGCAAATTGCAGGAATATCTTCCCACAAAATGTCACTATTTTAAAAATATTTTTCCATTCCTTAATATGGTGAGCATAAAAATTTATTTTATTTTGTATGTCAGAGTGAAATGGTCTGGACCACTAGTCTTGGTTTGCTGGCTAGAGGCTGATCTCTTGTGTGTTTGACATACTAATGAGTGAAGAAAGGAGGCTGTTGTTAAATACCAGCCTTTGCTTCTGTTTCTCTTCCACAGTTCCGCCGCTGTTTGCTGCAGCTGCTCTGCTCTCGGATCTCTTGGCTGCAGCGCAACCTCAAAGAGCGCCCCCTGGCTCCGACCAAGCGTCCCATCCAACCGATCGTTGTGTCCAGTATGTGCAGCAGCACCAAGGCGCGACCCAAGAAGAGGGTGACCTTCAATTCCTCCTCAATCGTCTTCATCATCACCAGCGATGACTTCCAGCACCTGGATGTGACCTCCAAGGCTGGAAACTCCACGCAGTTTAATGTTATCCAAGTGAGGCCACTGTGAGCCAAAAACACCGGACCTCTCACCCCACCACTCCGTATGCCTTAGGACCTAACATGCAACTCCAAGCCAAAACAATCCTGTCTGACCTCCCTGGCTGTTTCTGTGTCCACACGTGGTTACAGCCTGGTTACAGCTTCATGTATAAACCCAACTGTAAGCCCAAGTTCTCAAATAAACCAGTTTGAGTAGTATGAAAGTTTGACATCCTCATCTAACATCGGCTGTTGTGATATAAGTAACTTAATGTAGTAGTGGTGGTATTTTTCTCACACGCATTTGTCAGATATGCCATACAGTATATGTGACAGCTGTAGGACTTTGTTGAGTATATGAAAGGCAGTTGAGGACCTGAGTTTGGCTTAACATGTGGTAGCATTTTTATTTTTTGGTTGGTACCCAACTGTGTATAATGGAATACAAGCCTTAGATTCTTAGCCATAACCCATAATGCACAAACTGACATTACTGTGTATGGATTCAATAAAGAGACCCTATTTTAAGCTATCTAGCCTGTTTACTTAAGCTCATCTTATTTCAATGTAAATATCAAGTGTGACAAGATCAGTCACTGTGAAATTACACTTGGTAGATTTGTATGTATTAGGACGATGGGAGTAGCCCTACTTGAAGACTAAGAGGAAATGAGACTAAGACCTTAGTGACACGCTCCTTTCATTTCCTCCTGAGCTGTCAGCTATGAATAGATTTAATGAATGGTTTTCCTTAGCTGATAAAAACCCTTTTAACTGTGGATGTGAGAACGAGTGAGAGGGATTTTGTCTTTTTAGACAGTTGGAAAACTGGGACTTGGTTGATTTCTTACTGTATTTTCACTATGAAGCATATCTTATAATAAAGACTGGAAACAGAAAAAAAAAACTTGCCTAGCTGTGTCCATAGGTGACAAAACTGGAAATTTAACATTTATGCTTTTTGCCAGAGAGTGAAAATGATCAATGAGTTTCATGAAGGGTAAATAAAAGTCCTTAAAACCAGTCATCTTCACTTGTTTTATATAGGTGAGCATAGCAGCACATTTGAAGTGGACAAACCAGCCAAACTCCAAGCCCAAAGAGAGGAAATACTACATTGCCGGTTGGTCAGAAGTACATGTGTAAAATTGTATCTTTGTTACCAGCAGGCTGTTGTAAAAATTTCTTTAGTTAAATCTACAAAAAAGATAAACAGATAAAATCAAAGATAACACAGTCTGACAGGCAGAAAATACCTATCACATCTCAGAGTGGTGTGAAGTGTCTTTAAAAAAGTGGAGGGCTGGCAGATCTAAACCTATACTGCAGGTGAACAGCGTTTGATAGTCATATCCTTAATAAATAGGAAACTTTCACCTTTCTTGAAGCAGTGTGACACGATCTTGACAGACCACAGAACAAAACATCCAAAGAGTTGTACACAATTCTGTCGTCTATATTTGCATTTATGTTTTAGCATGTTTCAATAAATCACTGCACCTATTTCCCTGCACCTATATAAAGAAATAAGGGTTGGCTCAATATATTTGCACAGTAATTTATGTATAAGTGAAACATTGCAAAAACATAATGCAGCTTTAAAAACAAAAACAAATCCCAGATTTTGCATGACGTAAATGTCACTGGGCCCAGTGGAGACAAAGAAAAATAGCTGACATCATTCTTGTGTAAAAACAGTAAAAACTTCTACACACACCTAAAAATGACCCTGTGTTCTTGAATTAAACTTGCTTAATAATTAAAACAGCAGTGTTCTGCTCACCGCTGCTGATCATTATCGGTTTAACACTAATGAAACGGTGTAAGTCGTTCTGATCAATCACTAAGTCCTTGAAGTGAGGGCAGCCATTATTGGAGTAATTTGCCATTACTGGAGTTATAGCTGTGAATTAGATAATTTAGTCAAAATCTAATTAATATTTGGGCGCCTCCAAATTCTTTTCTAGTGTTTAACTCTAAGTCTGTACACCTGTCTGTCACATCAGTCACGATGCCTGTGCTCAGAGCGTCCTGAGAGCCACAAGCCTGTCCCACATTTTCTCAGCAGAGACGATGAGCTTGTTGATATCTGGAGGATTTTTAATGAGCAGGTAGGAACCACCAAGAACAGCCCCCACAGCACTGAGCAGCAGGCCACGGTTTATCACCTGTGAAGAAATGAATAGATAATTAGTTTGAATTCAGTTATTTGCTTCACAAATCACACAAAGGTTGGTAAATTGCTTCCAGTTTCATGAACATTAGTATCCCAAACATAGCTGCAAAGAAAACACCCAGGCTTTGTTTCCCTGGAGATCCATGGCAGTATGTGACAGAGGTGTGGTCTCTGGCTCTGCTGCAGTGGAGGGATGGTGCAGCGGGCTTGAGGGGCAGTGCCAGCGAGGCTGGAAGGGATTTAATTAATGAACGCTCCTCTTTTTATAGTGACGCTGAGGACCAGAGATGAGGTGCAGAGATGTGCGGAGACTGGAGTTATTGAGGTGCCAACCAGCAAACTCTGTGGCTGAGCTGCCCGAAGGAAAGCATCTAGCTTTTGAAACACTGTACAAATAAAACTGTTGCAATATATGCAAAATGCTCAGATTTCAGCCATTCTTACCTGGCCTGTTAGACAAATTAGCAGTTCTTGGGAGGCTTTTATTTAAGCGGTAACATAAATTTATTTCAGTCAAGCACTGCAATCTTCTTTTTTCCCCACTGGCCTTCCCTGTCTAACTGATAACATGACATTACATCTAAATATGGCACCATTGTATATGTACATACATAACCTAATGTCAACATGATCCCTGTTAGGTGGAGACATAACAATGGTTCCTTGAGTTATGTGATAACTGAATGATTTGTAGGTCATTTATTGTCATAGGGTTAATAAACAACATGTGTTTGTTTCAAAAATTTTAAGTAAATTAAATATTTTGACAACTTTTTAAAATCTTTTTTATGTGTAATTACAATACAATAAAACTTTATTAATCCTGAAGGTTGACCGCGAAGGAAATTGGGTAATTGTTGTAGTTCAGTTGCTTACCTAAAGTGAAGTAATCCCTTCACCCAATCAATGACCTTGCTGTTACTGACACTTTTATAATACATCCTTACACTTCACTGCCACCCTGTCTCCGACCTATATTTTTACCTGTCATTCCATATTCAGTATCACACCATATTATCGTGTTAACTGTAATGCTTCAGAGATAATATTTCTTTTCTTTCTCCCATGAAGGTCATTTCACCCTTTGCCCAAACAGCCCTACGGGTTGAATCAATTTACAGGGGAGGCTGTGAAAATCCCGGCTGTCCAACTGTCTATTAGAGCAGAAGCCGCCAGCACAGGCAAATCAGACAGTTCAACACAGAGCCAAGGACTAACAGCCTTATCTACAGCCCAGCGAGAGAAACCACAAACGCGTACGGCCGTGATGTGTGTTAAATGGAGAACTGTTTACTCAGAGTCGCAGCCGCCTTTAGTGCTGCTTCTGATAACACTGTCACTTTGCTAATTACAGTGCTTAGCTGTTCAAAGGTACAAAAAGTCCCATCAAAATTAAAATGCATTCATGTGTAGTGCACATTTTTTCCAAGTATTTTACTTTGTTTTGCCAGTGCCACCGCTTGACTGCTTCGTGGTATCTGGTCCTAGTGAAAGTGACCTAGAGACAAGAAAACAGAAAGAATAGCAGATTTAGTTTTCAGACAAAATGATGTGGAAACAGTTACTATTCATTAGTGATACTGTATCCAACTTACCATTGTGTAAAGTGGAATTATTGTCTTTGGCATGAAGAAGTAGAGGATGTTGTCAACATATTTTCTGAAAAGGAACCATTTGGAGTTGACGTGTGCTCGCATCTATGAAACAATACAACAAATGTGTTTGTCAGCCATTTGTCCATTTTATGATATCATTAGGTAGATCTTTCAGCCATATGAGAAACTTTAGACTTCCTTCTTCCTGCCTTTCAATATAATTGCAGCAGTGGAAGATCAAGAGTATTGTTAAGCCAACACATAGTCCTGCTATTTTTTAATTGCTTTATCCATTACTTTTGAGAGCGAGACTTTAAATGCACAGAAGGTTAGAGAACTGCTCTGCTTCAGAAGTGATGAAGAGGATTTTCATCACTTATGCCCATCAACACCTTTTTGTTTTTCAGTTTTAAGGTCAGTGGAAATACATTTTATTGAGCAGTTGGTTCTCAAAATGTACTTCAAAATGGCTTTAGGATGGACGTTTCAAAAGTTTAATGGGTCACCCGGTCACCCTCAGATGAGAGGAAATTGGTTAGGATGTTTAGGAACAACCCAAGAACCACCAAGGATCAAGCCTGCCATGAACTGGAAACTGTTGGAACAGCAGTGTCACTGTCCACCCTTCAAGTGAGTTTTACATCACTGTGGTCTGAGACGTTGCTGACCAAGAAATAAGCCCCTGCCCCAACTCTGATACATTCAAGCTCACCTGCAATTCACAGGTTCCCAAATGGACAAGCAAAATGCCTTCTGGAGAAAATTTCTATGGTCAGATGAGACAATGATCAATGATCAAGTGGTATGTTTGAAGGTATAAAGGCGAGGCGTGCAAACCTAACAGCACTGTAACAACTCTCATGCATAGTGGTGGTAGTAGGGCTGTTTTGCTGCCAGTGCTACTGGTACATTGCACAAAATGGATGGAGTAATGAAGAACAAGGGTTACTGACAAATTCTTCAACTTCACCTCAAACAGCTCAACAGCTGAAACTTGGACACAAGTGGATATTACAACGGGAGAATGTTTGGAAAAAGCAAACATCAAAACAGGATTTGGAACAGATAAAGCAGGCTTACATTAAGCCTTTTCTTCACAAAAACTGAAACTTCAACCCACTATGCTTAGAAGCTGTGCCGTGGCAAGAAACCAACCAATTTACGTGACATTTAACCAAATATTAGTGGGAGCATATGTCACGGTACTGGGCCTGTGACCCAGTGTTTTGGGTTTTTGGATTAAGTTACATTATTTGATTTGTTGTTTTTCACATTTTTGGTTCTCTTTATCGTTTTCTCCTTGTGCTATATTTTTAGTTTTCTGTCACTGTGCCTTCCATATTCCACGGTTAGTTACTCTTGTCTCTGTGTTTCTGGTTCCCTAGTTAGTCATGCCTCCATGTCACAGTGTCAAGTCACTTTCTTTGTGTAGGTCTCTTGTTTCCTGTTTTACTTTGACAGTCTCAGTGTTTTCAGTTTTGCTTCCTCCCCGTCTCATTTTGTCAGATTAACCCCAGCTGTGTTTCCCTCCTGTTTCCTTCGTTACACCCTTGTGTATTTAAGTCCTGGGTTCTCCTCTCCCGGTTGTCGTGTCATTCCCATTTGCTGTGTATGTTTCTCCGTGCTCATCATTTCCCTGGTTTTCTTCAGAGTCTGCTCCTAGTTCCTTAGTTTTCTAGCTTTTCTGTTCTTGTTCCTAGTTTCCAGTTTTAGGTTTTGTTTCTTGTATTCTGTATGTTAGTTTTCTTCAGCACAATAAAGCTGCCTCCCTTAATTCATCCCTTTGTGTTTTGCGAGTCCTGCGTTTGGGTCCAATCCTGCCTGCCACACAGCGTGACATGGCAGTATAAGTATATATTTGACCATTTGTGGATTAGAGAAAATCAAAATAAAATAAAAAATCTAACTTGTGCACCCAATTCTTTTTTTAAAATTCATTAAATATGTATGCTGTACAATCATCCCACTATGTAAAAAACAAAAACAAAAAACAGCTCAACAAATTCATACACTGTAAATCATACAGTGTATAAAATTTTGACCACAACTTCCTGCTTTCATATTAAAAAAAATATGTGGATTACTTCAATGTAGTTGTACATGGCCAAGTCAGCAATTGCGTGGTCGTCTGGAACTCGAACTCTGGTATACTCAGGCAGAACAGCACCTAGCGGGATACACAAAGGGCCGTATGGAAATTATTCTGTATGCTCAGCTTTTCTCTCTTCGTTAATCTTTGGTCATTTAAAAAGCGCTTACTGAAATCCTCATTGAATTGATCCATTATCTCGTCAAAGACAATGCAGTCCTCAAAGCCCTATAAAACATGAATAGATGAATTAGTCTCTGTCTAATTCTGCCTTTTCCTCCCCTCATTTAGTGCTACTTACAGCATTCATTCCTTGTCCATAGAAAGGCACTACTGCATGGGCTGCATCACCCATAAGGACGCACGCGTCACCAATGTGATATGGGTTGCATTTGACAGACACCATGGCCTGCGCAGGCAATCGGAAATAATCTCTCTGGAGAGTATCCCTGCAACACAAAAATTGAAATTCAAGAATTACAAACTCATTTTGCACAATTTAATCTGACAGTTGCAACAGACTGTTTTGTGTTTGCCAAAAGAGCATTTATCACAAGACACAAACACAGCTATGCTCTGTTTGTCTAACTAAGCAGCTAAACTGAGAAATTAAAGCAGGCACTTAGCCGTTTATGCCAAAGCACTCTGAATGAGTAACTGAATGAAAGCTTCAAGCGTTTCTGCGCCTCACACAGCCCTCCACCTCTGTCACCCGCAACATATGGTTCACCTCAAATTAGAACCTCACCTCACAAAATCCATATAACTGTAAGTCTGCAATTTCACACTTCACAGAACAGAGCTGTGGATGTGGCTGGAGCTGATGGGATGACGGGAAATAAAAGGCCTTTTGAAGACACTTTGGCAGGTCGGATGAAGAGATAAAGGCGGACGGGGGATTCAGGGAAATGGGTGGGGAGGGAGAAAGTCACTTACGCTCCTATTAGTGGTATGGTGTCAGGGAAGTATTTCTGGAAAAACTCGATGACTTCATCTCCTGTGGTGATCTTCTCAAAATCTTCAAAGGGCATGAAAAGGGTACAGGTGAATGTCTTGTCCTAAATCAGAAAGTAAACAGAGTACACAGAGACGTTAGCTCCCAAATCCATCGTGACACTCTTGATCACAGGATGCTTCACAGGATTAACCTTTTACTGCCCGTTGTTCCAGCAGAGATACATGAGAACTGAACTGTTAGCATCACGCCAAGTTATACATCCAAATGAAAGATTAGACTGTTGTGTGGTCTCACTCATTTTGGCACATTGAATCTTGTTTTTTCCCCCAAACTATGCTAACTGCATACTAACAGGCCAAAATAAGTACACATTTATTACAACATCAGTAAATGTAGGAGATTACCATACAAACAAAGTACCCAAAGCACTTATTTTGCAGAATGGTCAGTTTCAGAATAATATCTAATTATCTTCTGTATTTATTATTTATGCTAATGCTGCTGTTAATGTGAGTTTAACTGCAGGTTTTACACTGCCAGCTATGTATTGCACTTTTTTAATAATATGGCTTTAATCATCTAAATCTGGAAAATAGACCAGCTAAATAAACATAGATAATTATAGTATATTGATAGCAATAATAATGATTAACATTCAATTATCAAAAGATATTAAAGTTTTAAGCATTAGCATAATTTGTCTCCTTATGTAACAGTACAGTTAAGGACGAATGTTATTAGTTTTAGTTTTACTGATATTTGGTCATAAAGCCTTAGTTAACATGCTTGTGTTTTAATCGAGACCCACATATTAGTGGGTCTCGATAAAGTTCCTGTTCCTTTTTGGAAGCAAGTTCAAGTAAAAGTAAGATCAAGAAAAACTGAAGGCCACTGTGTTTATTCCTCCTTCATCATTATCGTTCTGGTTGAAGTAAACAAAATCACTGCATACCACACAGTACACAAATGACAATATAATCAACACAGTTTGATTATTAAAAGCCTTAAAGACATTCACCTTAAATCCATCACAAATGTTTAATGAAAAAAAATTAATTAGGCAGATGACATTAAAACGTCAGGCAGTTAAACAGGTACCTCACACACTAAACACTTGCATAAAGTGAATCAAATCGCTTTCTAGATTGCAAGTGTCAGCAACTTTGTCTAATTGCTTCAGTGGGTTTCCAGAGATGCACGGCCATTCCAAAGCTTCAGTACCCAAAGCGTTACCAAATAATTAGCATCCTGGTGCATATAAGGCAGCAGGATGCAGCATTTATAGTTTAAATAGATTTTTTTACTTGATTTTATATGTTTGATTCACACTCACATCTATGGGCAATTTAGAGTTTCCAATTAACCTATCCCCACTAACTAACTGCATGTCTTTGGACAGTGAGAGTAAGCCGGAATACCCAACGAGAATCCACGCAAACATGGGGTGAACATGCAAAGTCCACACAGAAAGAGCTCAGCCTGATGGTGGAAATAAACTCAGGACCTTATTGCTGTGAGGCAACAGTGCTAACCACCGTGCCAAAGTGCTGTACCCCGCCGCTCGCCCTAAGACAGCTGGGATAAGCCCCACCCCCCGCGACCCTGAAAAAGGATAAGCAGAAGAGAATGGAAGGATGAATTTATATGTTTGAGAAATCTTCCCTGCTGATCATAGTTTAGAATTTTCCATCCTCAATGTAAACGGAATGCCAGACACCACTGGATGGAAGTTCACTGAGGTTGTGTATGTGCCATTATCTGTCCTTCTGAGCAGGTGTCATCTATCAACATCACAAAGTCCTCCCCGTGGACATTTTAGCACTGTTACCATGGTATCCATAGCAAGGAAGACAATTTTTTTCACAGCCGTGTGAAATGTGTTTCTGGGAAATGGGGAGTGAGTGACAGTGTGAAGGCACTCAAAAGTCAGTTGCCTTAACCTAGTCTCCTTTAGGCGAGGAAAAGAGTTGTGCTGATTCAGCCACGCAGACAAATCATTATGGGATTAACCAGATAAAGGAAAGACAGAGAGTTGTTGAGTCAGAGAAAAAGATGCAGAGGCACAGGTGGGAAGGAGTGCAACACTGCTGTGTGAAAAGTAGGGTGAACCTCAGGGTGCCAAGATACTTCTGATGAGTAAGCCTCACTTCATAGTTATGAAGTGAGCCTAATTAACTCCATGAGGACATCCCAGAGGTCAGTCAAGCTCTGAAAGGTGCTAGTGTTTGTTTCCTTTAGCTTGCCACATAATATGCAGTAGTAACTTTACAAATAAACAAATCTTGAATTGCTTAATTTCACTGATATAGTTTAGAAATCAGTTCACACTTACCAAGTTGGGCAGGGCGATCATCATAAATGTGTTTCGTGGCCAGATGTGTAGATAATTAGGCTTCATAGCAAACTGGGGATAATGAAGACATCCAGCAGAAATTAAATGAGCAGAAAGATAACTACCACTGCAGATGAATTTTGCTGAGCCAAATACTAGAAGCGTGCTGACCTCTCCATTAATGGGTAGCATGGTGAGCTCCATGTAGCCATGAGGGATGTAGGTCTGGCTATAGTCGAAGCGGCTACGCCGAAGGAACTGCTTACGTACGGCAGAGAAAGCCCCATCACACCCCACAATCAAGTCTGCCTTGACCTGCTCCTTGGACCCGTCCAACCTGAGAAACACATTAGCAACATGACAAGTTAACTTCATTAAAAACTAAGTAACATGGAGGTTATTTTTAAGAATTAACTGCTTTAATGATTAAGCCACAGAGTTCCTAATTACACAAAAAATACCCATAAGAATTGAATCGTGTAATGAGCAAAGGCTTACTGGAAGCAGTGTCCTATCGCGTACAGAGCTGTCACTGCTTGGCTTTATAGAAAGCCTCTCTTTTCTGATACTTGAGAAAATAAGGTAACTGCTCAGCCTCGAGGCTATTAGCTTAAGGTCTGAATGAGACACAAATGAACTACTGACTCAAAGCCCGAGTTGGCTTAAACTGTATCTTCTTGAATGTTCCATTAGATACAGCAGATTTATATTAAATTTACAATGTCAGAATGTCACTATTATTAGAATCAAAAGCCACATGATGATCATTTAGTGGTCATTAAAACTTTTACTTAGCTACCCATTAACCTTAATCTAGTTAAAGTTTAGCAAGTTCAACTTAATGATAACACTTTATAATATATATAGCCTGGTTTGATTTGAATAGATTCCTTTGTCTGTAACTACATCTTAGAAAATCTTTCTGGCAGAAAGTTCTGAAGACAACATTTCAGTTTTTGTCCATCTATTGAGAAAAAAACAGTTAGGTTATTACTTTATTATCAACAACACACAAATATTTCATTTCATGTTAGATGCGTTTTCTCAAGAATTAAAGTGCTTGACCAATCAAAGCTGAGGTGGAGTACATAAAACCTCAAAACCCAAAAAATCTTGATAATACAAGATGTCACGGTTCTGGGTCCGTTGGACCCAGTATTTTGAGTTTATTATGTTTTGGTTTATTTTTGCATTATGGATTGTTTTCTGATGTTCTGGTGCTCTGTTTATTATTATCATTATGGATCTGTTTCTGTTATTCTTGGTGAGGGATCAGTTCTTAGGTTTTGGGTTCTCATGTGTATTGCAGTTTCTGTTCAGTGTCTAGTCTGTCTCTCAGCGTCATGTCTGCATCTGGTTTAGTACTTCCTGTCTTGTTGTGAAAGTCTTTGTCTTATGTTAGTGTGTGCAGCTTAGCTCCCCCGTCACGTTAGCCCTGATCTCCCCCAGCTGTGTCTCCCTTCTGTGGCCCATTTCCTCATTACTACCCTGTGTATTTAAGCCCTGTGTTTTCCAATGCTCGGTGTTGCGTCGTACCCTCAGAATTATGCCTGTGTGTTCAGTTCTCGGTGTCATTGTTCTGTTCACGTTTTCGTTTGTCGCCAGCAATAAAGCTAAGGTTCTCAGTTTCAATTCAGTCTCAATTCAATTCCAGAGTCTCAGAGTCTCGCATTTGGATCCTCCTCTCCATCCGCCTGCACACAGAGCCCTGACAGAACAACACGACCAGTAATGGATCCAGCGGACTCACTGAGGAAGCGCAGCTCCCGTTTTGACGGGACCCGGCTAGCGCTTGGAGAGCCTCCGTGCTGCCGTTCCTCGCTAGCAGCCTACCCTTCAGCCCACGTACCTGCTTATTCCCCCCGGACGCCCCGGTCTCACAGAAAACGCTCCAGCCGGTCCCGGGAGGAGTACTATGAGACCGCAAGCAATCAGCTTACACCTGCACAAGCTTTTTACAAGATGTTAGGGATTATTATCGTGCCGCCTGACTCACCCGACATTTCCACATCACAGCAGGAGCAGCCACAGCAGAGTCCTCCCTTGTCACATTCCGCCAGCGCTGCTCCCTCTTCAACGGGGAGGCAGCGAACACGCCGCCAGCACTCACAGCTCCAGCAGGAGCCTGGGATTCTTTTCAAACAACCACCTAGGGTGAGTGACAGAGTCTCCCTTCATTCACCTTTTGTGCCTAGGGATAAACAGACGGTTTCCCCCAAACCTGTTAATGCCAGCTTCGTGAACCCTACAGCTCATGTTGCTCCTGTTTGGAAAAATAGTAGTAGTAGTTCTGAGAACGTGTATTTTCCTCCTGGTTCAAGAGACTGTGCTCCTGATGTTCCTTCGGACCCAGGAGTTAAGACTGTTTCGTCTGGAACTCTTCATTCTGGGGCTATGTTTATTCAGTCAGCTGATCAGTAGCCACCTTCAGCTCAGTCAGCTGATCAGCAGCCACCTTCAGCTCAGTGTCCAGTGTCAGCTGATCAGCAGCCACCTTCAGCTCAGTGTCCAGTGTCAGCTGATCAGCAGCCGCCCGTAGCTCAGTGTCCAGTGTCAGCTGATCAGCAGCCATCTTCAGCTCAGTGTCCAGTGTCACCCGCTCAGCAGCCGCCCGTAGCTCAGTGTCCAGTGTCCCCTGCTCAGCAGCCACCTGTAGCCCAGTCACCAACTCCACCACCATCACTTTCATCTCAAGTTCAGTCTTCACCCCCGCTGTCCATAGCTCAGGCTCTACCACAATCAGACTTTCTCCAAACCTTGTTACAGTCCATAGCCCAGTCAGTAGCGCAGTTAGTGGAGGAATCATTAGCTTTGTCATCTGCTAAATCAGCCACTCATCTTCACCCTCAGTCAGGGGTCCCTATTGCCTCTGGCCCTGCATCTGCTCCAGCTGGAGGGCCCGAGGAGCCCGTCCGGCCTCAGGTTTCGTCTGCTGGATGGCCCGAGGAGCCCGCCCGTCCTCAGGTTTCGTCTGCTGGAGGGCCCGAGGAGCCCGTCCGGCCTCAGGTTTCGTCCCTGCCAGAGGCCCGCATGCCTGCTGGTTCTGATTTGCTCCTGCCAGAGGCCCGTGTGCCTGCTGGTTCCAATCTGTGCCTGCCAGAGGCCCGTGTGCCTGCTGGTCCTGTTCTGTTACTGCCAGAGGCCCGCGCCTACTGGTTCTGATCTGTCCCTGCCAGAGGCCCGTGTGCCTGCTGGTTCCGATCTGTCCCTGTCAGAGGCCCGTGTGCCTGCTGGTTCCAATCTGTCCCTGCCAGAGGCCCGTGTGCCTGCTGGTTCTGTCCTGTGCCTGCCAGAGGCCCGTGTGCCTGCTGGTTCTGTCCTGTGTGTTCCAGGGGCCCCTGTGCCCACTGGTCCTGAGACTGTTTTCGCTGGAGGGCCCGAGGAGCCCGTCCAGCCTTTTGCATCGTCAGCTGGAGGGCCCGAGGAGCCCGTCCAGCCCCCTGCTTTGCGAGCTGGAGGGCCCGAGGAGCCCGTCCAGCCCCCTGCTTCGCCAGCTGGAGGGTCCGAGGAGCCCGTCCAGCGACCTTCCTCATCATCTGGGGGGCCCGATCAGCCTGTCCAGCCACCAGCTGCTCCACCAGCAGCCTTATCCACACCTGCAGCAGCAGCCGCATCCACAGTTTCGTCCACGCCGCCGCCTGCTGCAGCGCCTCCGTCTCCGGCTTCCACGCCGCCACCAGCTGCAGCGTCAGAGTCTTCATCCTCGCCAGCTGCAGCCTCCGTGTCTTCATCCTCACCGTCGCCTGATCCAGCCTCTGCATCCGCTTCAGCGTCGCCTGGTCCAGCCTCCGCATCCGGTTCAGCGTCGCCTGGTCCAGCCTCTGCATCCGGTTCAGCGTCGCCTGGTCCAGCCTGTGCATCATCCGTTTCAGCGTCGCCTGGTCCAGCCTCTGCATCCGCTTCAGCGTCGCCTGGTCCAGCTCAGGCTTCATCCGCTTCATCCTCGCCTGGTCCAGCTCCAGCTTCATCCTTGCCTGGTCCGGCTTCCGCATCTTCAGCGTCGCCTGGTCCGGCTTCCGCATCTTCAGCGTCGCCTGGTCCGGCTTCCGCATCTTCAGCGTCGCCTGGTCCAGCCTCTGCTTCCGCATCTTCAGCGTCGCCTGGTCTGGCCTCTGCTTCCGCATCTTCAGTGTCGCCCGGTCCAGCCTCTGCATCCGCTTCAGCGTCGCCCGGTCCGGCTTCCGCATCTTCAGCGTCGCCCGGTCCGGCTTCCGCATCTTCAGCGTCGCCTGGTCTGGCCTCCGCATCCGGTCCGGCCTCGTCTGGTCCTGCGGTTGCCACACCGTCATCGGTTCCAGCTCATCCGGTTCCACCTCGTCTCTGCCGGCCGCTTTTTTGGCCTCTAGTTGGGCGTCGTCGCCGCTGTGGACGACCTCCTGAACGCCGCCACTGCCTTCTGCGTGGCCGGCCCCCGGACTTCAAATCAAATCAAATCAAATCACTTTTATTGTCACATCACATGTGCAAGTACATTGGTACAGCACATGTCAGTGAAATTCTTGTGTGCGAGCTTCACAAGCAACAGAGTTGTGCAAAATACAATAATGTAAACAAGCAAAATACAATAATGTAAACAAGCAAAATACAAGAATGGCTACATCTGAAACTAATAAATATATGTACAATATATAATAGTATATGCATTTCTGGATGTGTATACTAAATATTTTTCTACGT